TTTCTATTCCTAGTGGACATTTGGGTTATTTCAAGTTTGAGAACTTTTTTGTTGGTTTTTTTTGTTGTTGTTAACTTTTTGAAATGTAAATTCCATTTCTCTGGGATAAAAATCTCAAGTGGAATTGTTTAACCACAATACTATGGGCATGTAGTTAACTTTGTAAGAAACTACCCAACAGTTTTCCAAACTGGTTATACCAGCCTAGTCTCTGACCAGTAGTGTGTGAGAGCTATACTGCATTTATGACAGTTGTCTTTGACACAGTGCCTTGTTGTTTTTGTTTACATTTTCACAAATAACAATGTTAACTACCATTTCCTATACCTTTTCAATTCTTTTTTGGTCATTTAGATTTGCACTGTAAACTTAATATATAAAGTCTAAAGTTATAAAATATTTATATATATATATATATATATATATATATATATATATATCTCTTCTTATGGCAAGTATCTGTAATCTTTTGTCTATTTTTTATTGAGTTACTTGCCTTTTGTTAATGTTGATGAGTGCAAGTTTTTAATATGATCTGGATGCAATTCCTTTGTTATGTGTATGTGTCTGGGTATGAGATGATAAAATATAACAATTATTTTATGCCAGCCTATAGCTTGCCATTTCTTTTCTTAAATAAATACTTTAAAAAGAGAAAGATTTTTTTATTTTGATGAAGTTCAACTCTTCACCTACATCCCAATCAAGAAGAGATTTTCCTATGATTTTTTTCTAAATATTTTACAACTTTAGCCTTTGCATTTATGTCTATAATGTAAATCTCATTAAGAATAAAACTCATACATTAGGTTCAATTGTTCCAAGACAACTTGCTCTAAATATTGTTGATTTTTTATTTAATTTACTGAGTCCTTGATTTTTAAAACTCAATCTTATATGTATGAATTTATGTATGAACTCTATACTTGGTTTTGATCAATTTATTTAACTTTGTGCCAATGCTAAGCTTTTATTGGTTAGCATAACTTTATAGTAAGTTTGACATAAGTGCTCCGAATCCTTCACATTTATTTACATTTTCAATGTAGTTTTGAATGAATTCTTTGTATACCAAAAAAAATAGAATCAAATTGTCATTTTTCCCAAATCCTAATGTGATTTTGATTGTATGGCTCCGTTTAAGAAGATTTCCATATTGTCACTGAATTTGTTAATCATCCATAGTGTAGTTTTCCACTTATGTAGACCTCATCATAACTCTCAGGAATGTTTTCTAATTTCTAATGTAAAGTCCTTGAATATATTTTATTTCTAATCATCTTTTTATCATCATTATAAATGGAATTGCTATTTTTAAAATTCAATTCTGAATTGTTTAGTATTAGCCTATATATATCTGTCTACTGACCTTGGTGAATTCAGCTTGTAGGTTCTGTAGTAGGTGGCAGAATATGATTTTCCATGTGAGAAAACATTTGTTTGCAATTAAAGAAAATCTTACTTTCTTCCTTTTTTTTTTTTTAAAGATTTATTTATTTATTCATACAGAACTGGGGTACAGGCCAGAGATGCGGAGGGTGAGAGGATTCACCACACACAGAGCGGGGAGCAGAACAGGCAGATCGACAAGTACACTGCTGAGGGGAGCAGCGGGCGGGTCAGGAGAGGTCTGCCACGCCATGTGGTCACCTCCGGGGCAGGCGGGAATCGAACTCATGAGGAAGTGGCTTTAGTTTCTCAGTGCAGTGCTTTAACCCGCTGCGCCACCAGGGAGGGCCCACTTTCTTCCTTTTTAATGTTGATTTATTTATTTCTCTTGCCTTGTGAACTGACTAGAGCCTCTATTATACTGTTCACACTATAAATGATTACTGTTCACACTATAAATGATTAAAGTGGCTACCCTTGTCTTGTCTCTATTATATAAGAGAAATGTTCACAAGTTCATCAGAAATATGAAATTAATTATAGACATTTTGTAAGTTATTTTTTTCAGGTTGAGGAAGTGTCCCTCTGTAATTGTCTGATGGAGACTCATTTCACCAATAACCCAACCCCCATCTCTGTTAATCACCAATCTGTTCTCTATGTCTATGAATGTGGTTTTCTTTGCTTTTTAGATTACATGTAAATGTGAGATCATATGGTATTTGTCTTGTTCTCTTCTAGAGTTCTTTTTCTGCACTAAAATTACATAAATGTTCAGTAAGTATAACCATATTCACTGTTTAGTCCTTAAACATTATTTAGAAGCACTGCTGGAATGTCCCTTTCAGCTAACTCCAAATTCTGAGCCAACGTAGTCAGTTTCCATGGACTGTTTTGCCCTCATTGTGAGTCACATCTTTCTTTTTCTGGTTTTCCATAGTTGCTTTTGAAAGTACATAAGGCACTATAACCATGTGTCATTTAATTACATTTTCAAAGACAAAAGGCTGCACATGTGGGGTGGTCTGTAGGCTGTACCATGTAGTCTGGGTGTATAATAGGCCAGACTACCCAGGTGGGATTAATTATTCTCTATGAAAGTCACACAATGATAATATCACCAAAGAACACATTTCTCAGACTCTACCCTTGTCATTAAGCAACTCATAGCTGTATTGATAATAGGTTTTGTGGGACTTAGGATTCTGATAAGTTCCTCTAAAGAGTGTTAACTTTAGTTCTGTTCTCCAAATCATCTCATTAGAGAGTAATACCTAAAATCTGTTTAGTAATTCTAGATCCTTCTAGTTATTGCCAGCCCATGAATTCCTAGTACTTTACCCTATACTGTATAATTAATGGTCATGTAATGCTGTGAGCAGAGTTTATATATAGATTTGTTGTCTCCCCGTAATCTCCTGATGTCTATATTATTTTTCCCCCTTAAAAATATTCAGTGATGGGCTCTCCCTGGTGGTGCAGTGGGTTAAAGCACTACACTAAGAAGCTTAAGCCATTCCCGCATGAGTTCGAT